TTGGTGTGAGATGTCTTATTGGAGGACATCCAAATGCAATCCTCGAATGACAACGATTCCCCTAACAACGCACCTGTCACTAACAACTTGGAACTAGAGCGAAGAGATTGATAGAGACATGTTGAAACTTGGTTGGATAACATGATATTGACCGGCAGAGGTCAGAATGCATAACAAGATGGCAATCGGCATCCCGGATGGTATTTAGCTGCTCAGAAGTGAATACAGTGTACAGGATGGGACTTGAATTGATAAAACTTTCATCACCACTTCATCACCATCACGTGATAAATATTTATCGCATGCTCATTAGTATTCCATATACATTGCTTACAATCGTTTATAGTATAATTATATTGTCCGGGAATAGGTTTTTTTGGTGATACTATATACATTTATGCAGTTTTTTCGTGTACAGTTTTGACTATCTAATGTGTCTAGATATGAAGTATAGCCTTTATAAGTTTATGTAGTATACTCAGTTTATTTATTTATGTCATATATACACTAATGTTGCATATTCAGTACACTATAAATTTATGTAGTATATTCAATATATGCTTTAGGTAGTCTATTAAATGCATACATTATTCTGTATGTCTTAGTTAGACTAGTGTATCCACACATGTATTATATTCAATATATGCTTTAGGTAGTCTATTAAATACATACACTATGCTGTATGTCTTAGTTAGACTAGTGTATCCACAAATGGTCATTGGATTGTCTGGTCCAGACTCGATTATTTACAGACCGCTGCCATATAGCTGGAATAGTGCTGAGTGCGGCGTAAAACTAAACTCACTTACTCACTCACTCTTGTGTTTGATATATTGATATAGTGATGCGTTAAGGTTAGTGGTTAAAACAGTCACTCAACCCATCATAGGTGCAAAATGTGAAAAGCCCGAGTGTCCCTCAGTACTTAAATATTGCTAAAAACGGTGTAACATTAAATGCTCATTCACAAAATGTTAACACACCACCATTCTCACTGGCGACATGTTTGTCCAAAACACCACAAGTCACAGACCGTGTGTCTGTGTTATTTCAGTTTAACAGGCATTACTTGCACGAGTGAACAATAAAAAGTTGTGTGGAATCAGCATGCAGTAAAAATGAACACTCGTCCAAATGACCAACCTGCGTTATTTTTCTAAAGAGAATTGTGATAATGCGTCACAACCTTCTCATGTATTGGATTACACTGCGTTCATTCAAACAACTTCAATATTCCCTGCCACGATAAATGGATGTTACGCAAGTGTAGCGTGTTTGGCTACCTGTCGTGTTACATACAATAATGAAATTACTGAAATAAATGCAGAGGTGAAATGATGGAACACAGTGATAATGAAAAATGAGGATTCACCAACTCACATCGTCTCTCCCTCACTCACTCACCACTGCTCAGTAATGACTTATGTACCTTTGTTAACACAAGGCAAGATAAATTGTCTCTGTCCGCTGTTGTAGTGTCTCACCAATCACCCACTGCAGATATCTATTGACGTGTAAATAACTTCATATTCATGTTCATGGACATACTAAACACAAAAGAGTCTTTACACATTGTGCCCATATGGGGAATAGAACCCGGGCCTTCGACGTGACGAGCAAACGCTTTTACCACTAGACTACCTGAGTACCCCACCACCCCTAACATTGCACCCATGTGGGGAATCGAACCCGGGTCTTCGGCGTGACAAGTGAATGCTTTAACCACTAGGCTTCCCCACCGCCTCCAAACAGAAAAAGAACGCCGTCAACCTCGAAAGAACTAAATTCACTCACATCTAAACTCACATCTTTCTCCCAAACCTTCATCCAACACGTCTTTATAATGAATCTGTTGAACCTTTAAGATTTCAATTTCAAAACTGACAGTTATCATTGATTTCAATGCAAAGGAAACGAAAAATTGAAAGTCCATCTCAGAACGGATCGCGAAATCAAATGCGTATGCTGACCGTAAACAATACCCTATTCGGACGATGTCATTGCAAATACCATGATAGCAATATAGTCCCTCTTACCGATTGAACTCTCTGCGGATTTGGTATTCAATAAATCATGTGCGTTATTAACTATTGTTTTCTCTCGCCTCCCCCAAAAGTATAGTAAATCAATTTTAGGTTGATTTGTTGCCAGCTGTAAAAAAGATATGGATGTGTCCGTTATCTGATGAGAGTCTCCTAAATGTTTCTCCTAGCAGTTGTCCAGCCTTGTTTGGGGTTTAAAGGGGTTTCTCAACATGTTATGAATTATTTCGCACTACCATGAAAACGTTGAAAGACTAATTGGACTTCAAAGGCATTTAGCTGTTTTATTTTGATATCTAAAACAATGGTACACTAGTCCCTTTTAGGTGCGATTCGCGTCAGATGCTTGGCCTTTGAGAAATTAGGATAATGGCATTTCTGTTGACAGTTGTCCAATATTGCAGGACAGTGCATGACTTCTATACTTTGGGACGTAATCAGGATATGGTGTAGAAGCAATTTGGAAACAGTCGATAAAAGGTTTATGGGGAGAAGAGCCTTCATCGTGTTTCCGGTTCGGGTCCTGAACCAAGAACATGAGGAGAAACATGTATAGGCGATGTTTATTTCCTTTTGCAGCCTAAGAACTGGGTTACAATCTCACCATGTGTAGATTCTACTGTATTGACATCTACTGATATTGACATCATCTGTGAATTGAGTCATGATATGATCTTAAACTTTGAAATAGTTTACTGACAACACGTGCATAGTGATCGATAATGTCATTAATACCACATCTGCAGTTTGACATCGAAACGTCATAGCTCGATGCAATAAATAATAAGTTGTCTCCATAATAAGTGGTGTAAGTTTCATTTTTTAACTCACCAACTTCTAGAATGCCGATCAAACAATTAGAGCAGTACACATTGGATGAGTAGTTACCTTGGATTTTGTTAATAGCTGGCTTCTCGCTTATGTCACAATAGCCAGCTCCGTGTCATCACATTTTTACTTTATATTGAAAATAAGTGAATCCCTCCTGTTAATCTGATTGGCTTTGCTATTGTATTTCTTTCTTTGTACATTCATCCCTCCCTGTGTTGTGTAAACTGAATCTGACGTAAAAATCAAATTCAAAGAAAAGTGATTTGTTGAGTGTTTACACCCTCACATTCTGAACAATTCTATTTACAGTAACTGTGGATCTTTCAAGTAGGATGTTCTTTCAAAGCAAGTGCAATCATCCCAATAACTTCACCAAGACTACAGGTTGACAGCGATATTGACTGGTTTAATGGGTCTTTATGGAGGTGTTTTGTACGCATGAAACATTTGGATAGAATTGCGTAGTGTTTACCTTATACAGCTGACCAGATGGTTCAAATGACTATGATCTGGGGATCTGAGTTTTAGGATCTCGTTGAGTTCTTGTTGCTGTAGTGTAGATGAGTACTTCGAGCAGAAATAACTCATCTTTTTGTATGTTGACCAATTGTTTTTGAGACGTTAATGACTAGAAAATTCGTTGATGGGGACATAAAAAACGGATATTGAAAATATTAATAAAGATTTAGGCACCAGACTACCCAACTGACCCCTGGCATTGCTCAGCAATCGACAAATATAGCTAAAATGAATATTTTAAATCTTATGACAGCGAGTTGGAGGCAAAACAAATTCAAAAGAAAGGACATACAAATGAAATGAATTTGTAGGAGTATATCTGTTGATAGGCTTAGCTTTTCGAAGTTTCCTTTTATGATTTACTTATAATATTTTCAAAACAGACACAGTCACATTACGATTTTTTCAAAAATGTGGAAGTCTTTTTCGTGTTTCCTGTGAATTTAACTCCTTTTGTGCTTCACGGAGATAACATGTATTTATCAAGACATAACCATACATCTAAACATCAAAACATAGAGTTGAAATTGAGAAATCACGTCTTCACCAAATGTACTGAAGAAAGAGGTTCTTGGAATTTCCTGTACAATATCAGGTTTTAAGCAGGGTATTTTAAAGCTGAAGTACTTTTACAGAACATGAAAAATAGCGCATTTCTCCACTGGAAATCTATGGATAACAGTTACAAAAGTTTCGTTCCTTTTGCTGACGATCTCTGGCCCTTTGTTAAACAGTAAACATTTCTCAGATGTGTCAAACTTCATGGAATGTGACATATGAACAAACTGATAATCTTAATAGTATTATATCCAGGCTATTATTTTCTGTTGGACATCTTAACACGGCTGTGAGTGAAGTGTTGAAGGTATCGCCTCCCTAATCAGATTGTCCTTTCACATCTAATAACTACAGACATGGATTATCATATTACGCCGGTATTGACAGAGAATACATTGACGCTTCTGCGTCGGAAGACAGCCGATGACAGAATCTTGAGTGCATTATAAAAAATATAGCATTGCGTGTATCTTGGATTTCCGCCAGACAGATATATGTGTATTGTATAAAGCAGTAACCTTTCTATTCTTGTACTGCAGCTGATATCGAGAACGTCTGGCACGTAAAGACATGAGGGGATATGTGTACTATTTATCACATATGTGCATCAAATATACTCCAAAGCGAAAGTTGGGAAATAGGTTTTGAAAATCTATAAAAAAATGCAGCTGTAAATTCCTACTATTTCTAGTGTTGGTGATTTAATGAGCTCAAAGTCAATGATGTTCACGAGTGAGTCACAACTTCATTTCAATTCAACGTGTGTTCACATCCCTCAATTCATCTGTAGAACCGTCTACCAGTAGGCAGATATCCACTTACACAGTTACTTACCAATGTTCTTTCTCACTTATCCAGCTTTGTGTACACGCAAACGTGTTCTAAATTGTATCCCAATAAAACGATCCGACTGAAATCAGGTCGAAACAGATCCACAGCATTCTGCTACTTTTCTCAAGAGACGGCAAAAGTGGTGATATGAAAGTCAGACTGGGTGATGTAATTGCCAGTAATGTTCGTTGATCATCACAAGCATAATGAGAGCTGTGATGACATGTGTAGAACATTTATCGTTTCTGCATTATCAAAACGATCATCGATCACTAAAGACATGACTTCTTAAAAGTAAACAAATATAAACACAAGAAAAGTAATTTAAAATGCATTAACTGAATTGCTTCCTGCAGCAACTGCAGCAAGGAACTGATTAGAGATAAATGAACCCGACCCATTCATCCTTCACGAGAGAGGGTTGTCCTTGTACCAGGGGATACGTCTGAAGACTTTATTTAGATCTTGTCTGACTTGACCCAAGACCAGACTGTTCCTCGTCAGTTAATGGGATGGTCCTACACCTTCACATCATTCAAAGATCTCTTGTCTTAGCAGCAGGACTGGCTGAGCTCCGGTTGGCATTATAGAATTTTCATGTTTTGAAATGCCAGAAAAGACTCTGTGTTCTATGAAATCCGATCACAATGATACGCTCTTGATTGTTGAGTCTGTCTTTCCTTCTGTGGGATTGCTTCAGGCTAGATCGGGGCAAGGTGTTCTCCTGTTGCACAAAAAGAAAATTGAGTGAAATTACTTTACCACTTTGTCTGAAATCGGTATATGTCCCAGGGCAGGGAGATATAAGGAAATATTTGTGTGATCACAGCTGGCGATGTGTGTGCTGCATAAAGCAATATGACAAAATATTATATTTGACATGATCCAAAGAACCTCAATGATAACCATAAGCATAGAAGTCAGCTTGTACATGTAAACATCTGTTTGAAGAAAAACAGTTTAGTCGATGGATTTAAGAGAGAAGCCTTTCACTGATTTGACTGACTGAGTTTGGTTTTACGCCGCTTTTAGCAATATTCCAGCATCATCACGGCGGGGGACACCAGAAATGGGCTTCGCACATTGTACCCATTTGGGGATTCGAACCCGGGTCTTCGGCGTGACGAGCCAATGCTTTAACATTAGGCTACCCCACCGCCCTTCACTGATTTGAGGAGAATATACGTTCACTGATCTTGTCAAGAGAAAACTCTTTCACTGACTATACTAAGAGAGAACCTTTTCTCTGTTGGTTTTCAAAAGGAAGTCTTTCACCGATGTTATGGGACTTCCGCCGATGTTATACAGAGAACAGGCTGTTTTCAGTTCACCAAAGTGAATTCATTCACGTAATTAAGGAAAGGTCTGTGGTTATTTACAGTTTCATTTATTGCAATCATTGTTTGTGGAACCCACGAGATTAGTTCCGTACAATTCGGATAGCCATTTTGTTATTACTTATCATTAGCATAGGTGTCACTTTGTACTTATGTTTTACTCACTCACTCACCCAGCTTCAGTATTATGTTTTAAAGCTATAGCCATATTTTGCATTTATGTCTTGCAACTCTGTTCCTTGTGTCATGTAATACTGAAGCTGAGAGGGTGATTGAGGCGAATAGAGAATTTTTTAGAGTGATAAATAGATGCAAGTCCATCTTTGTTTCACTGCAGACGCATCTAAATTGTGTATGAAAGAGTAAAAAAGTGTTTAGTAACCCATTCCGATGGTAACCCCAAAGTTATTGCACAAGTGAATGAACTATGCCGATAATTCTACATTCAAAGATCTAATATTCTGACAGTAAATCTACTGTCCGCTCACTGGCATTCTGAGATGTTTTTGTGGATCGCGAAGATAGTAAAGCATCTATTTCTATCCAATATTGGATCAAAAGGATTCGCTAGTGTTTGGTCTGTCTACTATTGTATGTTGCACGGATTGCTTTTGGTTAGAATGGGGACACATGTTCCCTTGATACCGGGAGAGAAAATGTAGGTGAAATTGAGTTACCACTTTGACATTTGAAATGATTGAGTCTGTTACGGAGGTTCCCATTGGGAAAGGGAGATATCTCTATCTCTGCCCGTCACGTCAGGAAATATGAACTGGAACACAATTTAATAAAACATAACTCACGTAAGTAAATTATTCTGGAAAAGCTTCAGTGAGACATTTTCTTCAAAACACTTTAAGAGTGTCTTGTGTATCTATAGTTTAATTCATTATATTGTCTGTTATGATTAGCAGGGAAATGCGGACCCCGAAGAGCAGCTGAAAGGAACTCAAGGAATAGTTGGTGGTTGTGGTAGTTCATTTAGCAGGATATTTCGATCGTTTTGTCAAAGATGGTTAGAGTGATCGATGAAGTTAAAGGTGTTATAACTGAATGTTCGACTGGTGAACGTTGTAGATTTTTGTTTTTGTGGTCATCATGTTTTGATGATGGTATATGTTTCGTTGGTATACATGATGTTTGAGGCTTGTATATGTTCATGTGATTATGATGTTTGAGGTCTGTGCATTTCTGTGGGCACGACATTTGAGGTTGGTATGTGTTTTGTGGGTATGATGTTTGACCTTTGTATATGTTTTTTGGGTATGAATTTTCAGGTTGGTATGCGTTTTGATGATGTCCGATTGTGTTCGCGTTTTGGTTATGCACATTTGGTGTGCTAACACACTTACCATATGGCACCTTTAGCAATATAACTCCTCATTACGTTTTACAAAACCGATTTTTCTCATAATGAAACAATTTTAATTAAGAGCGTTCCACAGACGTAACACATGGGTACAACGTGTGAAGCCCATGTCTACTGTTCGCTGTCATGATATTGCTGGAATGTTGCTATAATCGGCTAAAAATTAGCTAAACTCACTTACTCATCTTTATTGGTAACGCTGTAGCATGGACAGTATAAGCTTTCGCCTAAACAATGATATGGTTAATATATCTCGCGTAATATTTGTTCTGTGCTCCAGTGATACATAATGGATGGGCAACGTTTTCCTATACACATGTATTGTTATTGTAAGCCTGGAGGCCGTCCGAAGCGACACACTGGAATCAGACCATCGTTCAGGGGTCTTTGGTTTGAAGGTAACGAAAATGTTATTCTTGATGCTGAATACCACAATTGTAGACAATTGTCCCATAACCACGATAGTCTTTTTAAAGGCGTGCAAATTCATCATGCTAGGAATAATCTAATGATGGTTGACGAAATCCTGAATTTGGGTCATAGTCACTGAAACGGAATGCGTATCAGTCAATTGTTCATTGTCATATCTAACAATGAAATGGTCATCTGAGAAGTTTCCCCTTTGGAGGCAATGGTATATTTTCCAAGTCAGCGTCTGAGATAGAGATACAATTTGTGCTGATTGAGCGAGTGAATATTTCACATCGCCGCATCAACCATCTTGCAGGTATTCGCGACAGGTCGCGAAAAACAACCGCCGAGTTTTCCCTTTAGGTCTGTTGTAAAGAGTGAATCACCCCGTTACACTGTAATCCGTGGAGGGAACCGTGAGTGAGTATCAACAGACAACCCCCCCTCCCCTCCCAGAATAATACTTTATCTTTTAAGTAACGGATAGGACATATGATATTATACACTGTAATTATACCATGTGTTATTTTTAATCGTAAAACATAACATATTTATATGCCATATCTACTCTCTTCCAGGGGTAAGATGATACGCAGATAAAGAATTGTGTTTTGATCTCCACATCTTCAAAGAAAGACATATCAGTTTAATTTAATTTATTATGTCAAATCAGTGTAAGGTATACAGAACTTGACATTTCAGGTATATCTCGGTTGAAGTGAAAATCGAGTTTTACTATTTTTTAAACATTTAAATAGTATTTGAAACATATTTTTTCCGTCATTATGGAATCGGTATTTGAAAACGTACACCGTCAAACTGCCACCAGAAAAAATGCTCAACTTGATGAATAGTTCCTTGTATTTGGGACACGTCGGAAGTAAATTCAAACCTGGCCACCAGTATGTGCAGTTATGTCGTATGGTGTCATCCCTGATTTCCAATCATCCATTCATATAATATAACCGCCTGTTTGCCATTTACGCACAATAAGATCAGTTTGGGTAAGAAATGAAGTGTGCTTAATCAACAATAGACAGGTCGATCAGAAAAGATCTATAGATTTTAATGTCAAATGATCTATTGCCATATCATGTTTGAACATTCTAGTATTGTATCTGCAAAATTAACAAAAAATGATATACTTTGCAGTGGATGAGGGGCGGTGGGGTAGCCTAATGGTTAAAACGTTGGCTCGTCACGCCGAAGACCCGGGTTCGAATCCCCACATGGGCACAATGTGTGAAGCCCATTTCTGGTGTCCCCCGCCGTGATGTTGCTGGAATATTGCTAAAAGCGGCGTAAAACCAAACTCAGTCAGTCAGTCAGTGCAGTGGATGCAATTTAATCTCCTAGTCATTGCTGTGGAAACCTTTCTCTGATGAGGTAATACGATATATAATCACTTTACGTCCAACCAAGCTTCAGTTCACTGACATGGCAGTACACTGATTTCATATAATTTTTGCAACTGATTACAACTTTAATTGTAGGTTATCTTCAGTTCAATATTATTTTTCTTCCAGCTCAGAGGACTTGCCTGAACAATGGCCTTTTGTTGTAAACAACAGGGCCAGAGACACAAACAGAAACGCATTATCAAAATTGTAAGCCAGTATATCATGAATTCGATTAACACAGATTTATTATTCTGTGAATAGTTGTATCTGTTCAACTCATAGCCGTAAACCCATAGGCAAACGGGTTAGAATTGGTCCCCAGCAACACATTCTTGCCGTAAGAGGCGTCAGGCTCACTGACTTGATTGACATGTCATTGTCACGGAATAGCCCTAGATCGTCATCATCAACATCACAGCACAGCGCAGTATGAAGATTAACAACATAAGTTTATTCAAAAGTTATTACAACACACACACATTTTCACACATGAAACATCCATCTTCACACTCACCGTACACGCCTATCATGATCCCTACAAGTAAACCCTATTCACTCACTCACTACAATAAGTTTCACCCGACTCTCAATAACACCTTCCCAACATCCATTTCATAACACATCATCCCACACGGACAACCAATTACTTTACATACCCACACTTCTATGTGTATACAAACACACACAACTTATTTATCATAACATAATAAACTAAACACAAATATCTACACTTTTAATTACATGTACTTCTTATTCACCTCTATGACAACAGATCATACAAGAATTATATGATTCGTATAACCACATTCACAGTATCTATCTGTGCCAATGCATGAATATCAAACTGATTGCAATGTTCAGTTAAAGGATGGTACTGTTAAGTGTCCGTTCATGTCATACACATGAAGGTCACACAGGACTTACAGATGCGTCGTCATCTAAGCCTCTGTCGCTGGATCCTCTCCAGGTTTGGTACACACTCAAGTGTAAGAAGTGTATTCGACTCAGGCGGCAGCCAGCTTGAACATCCCAGGGTTACGAACACACGACCTGGCCAAGGTCAAGACTCCCATGGGACATCGTCTTCACGCCGTAACGAAGCGCCCTCTAATTTTTCAAGTCGCCATCACGTCGCCATCATGCACCCATTACAGGCTAGGTCTGCTCACGTACGAAGCTCCCTCTACTGAGTCGTTGTGACGACTTCGCACATACACGCCCATCCGTAGGCTTTTTGCTGTAACATTTGGAGTGAATACTAAATACCCAGCACTACATTTCACAATATTACTACACTAAAGTGCTTACACTCCGAAACTATACCAACACATGTATGTCTTCAAGATTCTTATGGTGATGACCCGTGAAGATCCGGGGTAGAATAGGTCTTCAGCAACCCATTCTTGTCATAAAAGGCGACTATATTTGTCGTAAAAGGCGACTAACGGGATCGGGTGGTCAGGCTCGATGACTTGGTTGACACATGTCATCGGTCCCAATTGCGCAGATCGATGCTCATGCTGTTGATCACTGGATTGTCTGGTCCAGACTCGATTATTTACAGACAGCCGCCATATAGCTGGAATATTGCTGAGTGCGGCGTAAAACTCAACTCACTCACTCACTCTTATGGTGATATAACCTAATTGACTATTGCAAACAATTACACGAATCGTAGTATAACGCTGTCATTCAATTCACACATCAATGCCAATCATACAATTTCCACCAATACTCATATTTCATAAGCCTGCATTGCATTCACATAAAAAAAAATCATTCACAAAATCGTACTCACGTTCACTGCAAAGAATGACAAAATTAAACATTCTAACCAAATAACAGAAATCATAAACACTACTGTACCACTTCCATATTACGCCCAAGTAACCATGAAATGTTCCACAAATATAGAATCTAACTGCGATATTAATTCTTATGATAATAAATAAATTTGCTCTCACGTCCAAGCGACCAAATATGACCAGAAACACAGGTCCGACGTGGACGCTCTCTTAACTCGCTGTGCACCCAGACAACCGCCTCACCAGCCTATGTAGGATACGCGCACGTGCTGCATGCTTTTTCTGCGCGCAAGCCTTGTTCGCTTGCTCTCGCCTGGACTACGGGTTTTAATAAACTTGGTTGTGACAGTCATCGTATGCCAATTGCACAGATCGATGCTCATGCTATTAATCACTGGATTATCTAGTCTGGATAGTATACAGACCACAGTCATATAGCGCTGGGATATTGCTGAGTGTGGGTGAGGTGAGGTGAAATTAGGTTTAACGTCGTGCTTGAGAATATTTCGCTCATATGACGACGTGCATGCGTGTGTATGTGTATGTGCGACTGCTTGTACTAGCCCAGACTGAAGCTGGTTTTATAGTGCTAGCCCACTGAGATACCACCCCGCAGTGAAGCATGAATACCCCACTCAGACACATTATACTGACTCCGAGCCGACCAGTCCTTGCTGTACCCATTAATGCCGAGCGCCAGGCAGGGACCAACAAGTACCATATTTTAACGTCTTTTGGTATGACGCGGCCGGGGATCGAACCCGCGACCTTCCGCTCTCCGGCTGAGTGTGGCGTTAAACAACAAGCAAATAAATAAACAATCCGCTTGGGAGATTTCACAGGTTGGGGTACAGTGGTGAGCAATGATGATTCAGGGTGAGACACAGTCAGCTTGTCAAACAACGGGGACATACCTTGTGGTTCCTCAGCTTGTAATGAGATACGAAGTCCCTATAACGTGTACAAAGAACGTAGTCCAGCCATAAACCGCTAGCAGAGCTGCCGCTGTGACGAATCGTATTTTCACGCTTTCAAGCTAACAATCATTCAACAATTATAGTCTTTAACGTTTGGTTCCAAAGACAAACTGGAAGGCAATTTTGAAGTTCTCACATTCAATTACGCATAACGTGTGAGAATTACATGTTTTTGGTGCTAACGATAACAAAGTCCTGTTATTGGGCAAGTGCCATTAAACAACGTTAAACATGGGAAATTAAAAAAAGTATATATACGTTTATGTTCATACGCATACACACTTTATGTTTCTCATACATTGAGAAATATATTATTGTTAATGGGTATAGTTTGCTGAACGTATAAATAGCCAACTGGGACATTTAACTTCGTCATGCGTTCAAAGGAAGCACTGAAATGTGCACCCTGGAGCTATGTATGACTAAGATTATATGTATATGTTATACACCGACTCTTGACACTCTAAGTGTTTAGTGTACGACTTTGAATTAATCTAAATGCCAAAACCTGCAAGCACGTTTTACTTCACACTTCTTTGATAAAAGGGGCGGTGGGGTAGCCTAGTGGTTAAAGCGTTAGCTCGTCACGCCGAAGACCCGGGTTCGATTCCCCATATGGGTACAATGTGTGAAGCCCATTTATGGTGTCCCGCGCCGTGATATTGCTGGAATATTGCAAAACGCGGCGTAAAACCAAACTCACTCACTCACTCTTTGATAAAAGGTCAGGGACAAGGCCTGAGTCAATTATATCAAGAAAATATACGTCACCTTAATTTTTATGTAGCCACTACTTACATGTTTATGCATTGCAGGCATGCGCATGTATATATGAAACAATATTTCAAACAAAATATTACAATGAACAATAATCATGCTCAATTAACTTACTTTATTGCGAACACGTGAACGGTTACATTTGGTCTTCAGCAATCAAAGCTTATAGTATGAGGCGACTGACTGGATCAGCTGGTCAGACTCTCTGACTCTGTTGGCACATGTCATCGTGTCCCAATTGCATTGTTCATTATTGGATTGTCTGGTCCAGATCCGGTTATTTAAGATCGCCGTCACATAGCTGGAATATTGCTGAGTGCGGTGTTAAACAACAAACTGACTGACTGACTGAGTTTGGTTTTACGCCGCTTTTAGCAATATTCCAGCAACATCACGGCGGGGGACACCAGAAATGGGCTTCACACATTGTACCCATGTGGGGATTCGAACCCGGGTCTTCGGCGTGACGAGCCAACGGTTCAACCATTAGGCTACCCCACCGCCCCTAAACAACAAACAAACACAAAGAAACAATTAAGAACTTATGAATTTTGTGAACTACACTAATGACGCATTAGAGTCTGAAGATATGAAGGGCACAACGGACAAATCGTATTTTTGTCTCCATAATACTGTGTATTATTTCAGAATTACAACTTCAAAGGAAGCCATTATGCCGCTGATTATTGTCATCCAATATTTATAAGTTTAAAGGCGACTCAGCTCTTCATGTATTTGCACGTTTCAAACAGTTTATACAAGCTCTAAAGGTCTCCATCTTGTTTTTAGAATTGACTAGTAAGACGTTCAGGTTTTATGAACTGATCATGATTTTCTGTCTTTTCATAGTTGACGGTGTATACCATCCCTCATATTATCAAAATATTGTCGTGAATTAGTGACGTTGATCAAACACGCGACCTTGCTTCTGTTGTGCATTCACGATATTGACTGAGTTCGTTTAAACCTTGTTTCCTGGATGCACGATGAGAATGTGTAGGTGTAATGACTTTAGAACGCTGGCAATTGAATCATGGGAGTTCCGTACATTAGGGATGGAGAGGCATGTTTTCGTATGAGTATAGACCTTGGGAATATGGATTTGAATGTAATTAATTTAAGGAGAAAATCTAATGAGCAAGTTCAGTATGGCAGTTAGATGAGCATGATTGGTGATGTTTCAATTCAGTACAGCATGTCAGGCAGAAGATGGAGAGGATCTCTATTTTTGAGAGTCATCTTTCATAGCGACTTACAAAGGACGTGGTCGAGAATGATAAATGTTGGTTCAGTTGTAGCAGGAGAGACAGGACTGTTTTGTCTGTGTGTGAAGATGTAAGGTGTAAAATGATCGGATAGAGTAATGTCATCACCAAATCCTTATTGACAGGATAAATCGTGATTATCATGTTGTGGTGGCACTTAGTTCCGTGAACTTGTTTCAGCGGCGGATAGATGGCGGATGGGGGCCCTGTGTGGTGTGATCTTAGACAAATGACCGTTTTTGAAAATTCACATACCTCTGTACATATAGCATTAAATTGGTACCCGGTAGTATGGAATTACTGTTCCTTCCACGCTCTCATAAGAACAATTTGGCGTGTATGCTCCTTTTGTAGAATGCAGTTTGTGAGCACACTGATCCACTGTCCCATTTAATAATGTAGCACTATGAACATGCGTTCTTGAGTGATATTTATGTGCACATTATTATATAAAATCAAACAGCATGTCTAATGGATTTGTGGAAATTCTATATACAAAGAAGGAGTGCTGGGAGTTGAACAGTTAATGGAAGTAAAGTTGCCTGGATTTTTTAATTCATTTCGAACACAACAAATACCTGAAGATATGAAACGTTTATAAATATCAGCTTTTATAGGATTTGTCACAATGTTGCGAGGGAGCTGAACCTCGCAACTTGCTCTTCATCGGGTAAGTATTGAGTATTGGGATAAGATTGCAGGTACAATATGAAAATACAAGCGTGTCCGTGAGAAGACGTGCCACACAAGAGCACAATGCCTTACAGCCAACAGTACAGGTTCATGATTACGTCATGAAATAATTGCTTTCTACAATCAGCAGTGCGGAATCTGCTTGATTGATTCTTGGAATGATCCATTAAATGCTGACATCAGTTGCCTACTGTTTGCGTACTATATGTGCAGCTCTTACCAAGTGAGGTGAGGTGAGGTGAGGTGAGGTGAGGTGAGGTGAAATTGGGTTTTAAGTCGTGCTTGAGAATATTTCGCTCATATGACGACGTGCATGCGTGTGTATGTGTATGTGCGGCTGCTTGTACTAGCCCAGACTGAAGCTGGTTTTATAGTGCCAGCCCACTGAGATACCATGCCGCAGTGAAGCATGAATACCCCACTCAGAGACATTATACTGACTCCGAGCCGACCAGTCCTTGTTGTACCCATTAATGCCGAGCGCCAGGCACGGATCAACAAGTACCATATTTTAAGGTCTTTTGGTATGATGCGGTCGGGGATCGAACCCGCGACCTTCCGCTCTCCGGGCGGACGCTCTAACCACTACACCACGGAGGCGGTCTTACCAAGTGAACAGCATCAGCGATCACAAACGTTTACCGAAGCTTGGCTAATATCTTTGTCAAGATCAAGGAGAAGCTTGCGATCCTTGTTAACGGTTTGTAAATCTGAAAACTAAACTGAGCAAACGTTCCTTTCTGTGGTATTTTGTGACAGGGTCAATCCCAAAATATCGCAATATGGATGCATAGGGATGTGCAAGGTCTGCAAGTTTGAAGACTGAAGTTGTGGTTTGTTCAAAACGATTTTGATCTATGCGTCACAAGTTCAACGAATACAGTGACAAACACATTTCTCTCACAATAAGCAGTGGGTTCTTCAGTCACTCTAGCTGTTCCATCTCGATTGTAGAGTACCACCAAACACTTGGCTTCCAGAGGATCCATATCACCCATACGTAACGTTGCTAAAATTATTATAAATTAGTGTCTCAAGTACTGTTACACTTTACTGACTGCAATATCGGTACAACTTGGTAGATATTTTGTGTGGCGTTTTGGCAGGGGACAGCAATCTTTTGAAATTATATAATGGATCAGTCTTCGTTCCGACATGAAACATATCATAGCAAGTGAAAGCAATCAAGGGGAGATTACTCGCATTTATGCTCGGCATTTGAAGAAGATGAAAATACTTTTTTCTGGCGGAAATCCAAGATATACACACTTTTCCATTTTGGAGAGGAACCTCAAAAGCCTAAACGTTTCCACTGTTGATTTTGGAGTAATCACTTCATCTGTTTTCTAGTTATTAGATTGATTGGGCAATAGATATAGGAAAACGATGTTTTGATAACATCTTCCACTTTGTAAAACTACATCATCATCAGTCTGAGGTACTCCTTTAACTTTTTCAAATTAATGTTTAGGAAATGTTAGTGACGGCGAGAACTAACAGGATTTG